CACAGCGTCTGTCCCCCAGCACGGGGGGGCCCCTGCACCAGCCCCCCCCACCTACCCTGCACCCACAGGCCCCCTGCGCCCTGAGCTCACCTTCCACTTGCTCTTTGCAAAGTTCTTCTGGATCTGCTCGCTCACCGACTGATGGATGTTCTTGTCCAGAGCTGTGTCCCCAGCAATCCTGGGGTTGTGGGGTATGAGGTGGGGGGGTGTTCAGTGAGAGTCCCCCTGCCCCACCGCTGCCATGGGGTGGAGCCAGGAAGGGAGGGTGGGCAGGCAGTGAGCAGCAGGTCTCCCCCTTACCAAGGATGCTGCAGGGCTTGCTCGCAGGTGAAGCGCTTGCCAGGATCCTTCTCCATCAGATGCTGGATGAAGTCCTTGGCTGGGATGGGGCACGGAGCAGCTGTCAGTGCCTGCACCCACTGCCCACCCCCGCAGCCACTGTGACCCTGTGCTGCTGTCCCAGCTCACCTGAGTCGGAGATGTCGTCCCAGTAGGGCGAGTCGAACTCGTACTCGGCCCGCAGGATCTGCTCGAAGAGCTTGGCATGCAAGCGTCTGGAGGGGTCAGGGAAGGGTCTGTGAGGGTAATGGGAGGGGAACACTGGGCCCAGGCAGCCCCAGGGGAGTGGGCCCCTGTGGAGAGGAGAGGGCAGGGAGGGGGGGTACGTACAGGATGTAGGCGATGACCCCAATGGACCAGCAATCCACTGCCTTGCTGTAGGGCTTCTGCGCCAGCACTTCGGGGGCTGGGAGGGGACAGCAGGGATGAGGAGGGACCCCAACCCCAAGGGGGGGGCACCTCAAGTCTGCAGCCGGGGTCATGACAGCCCCAGCAGGTGCTCACCCACATAGCCAGGGGTGCCGCAGGCTGTGGACATGACGCTGCCACAGTCCTCGATCTTGGACAGCCCAAAGTCACTGATCATGATCTTGGAGTCCTCGTCCAAGCTGTAATAGAGCAGGTTCTCGGGCTGCGGAGAGGAGGTGTCAGGGTGGGTGACGCTGGGTCCCCTCCCTGCCACCGCAATGGGGGGGGGGG